CTGAGGGCTATTTTCTTCAATTTTAACAGTTAAGAGGCTAAAACCTACAAATCTAATAAGGTAAGGAGTTAAAAGTGTCATAATATAAGGTAATGAGTTAAAACCTTCAAACTTTATAAAGTAAAGAGCTAAAGGTGGGTTTTTACCCTGAGAAGGGGATACAACAAGCGCAAATGAAACTCGCGTGGACCATGCCTAGAGGGTGGACTTCCTCGGAAGCTATCCTTCAGGAAAAGTAAAACCTAAGGAAAAAGGGAAAATGAAGACTCAAGAGGCACCTTTACTGGATCAATTATCTGTTGTTGATACTAACTCTTACTTCCTTTCCCGCAATGTCAGTTTCATTTGGACCAAATTTTTGTCTCAAATTAACAGCCCTATTTACACTTTTAAGATGCATTGATATTTTCTTTTTCTTTTTTTAGTCACATCCAAAAAATAATAATTTTTTTAAATGCACTAAATTAATATGGAGTGTATTATTAAAATTAATCAATAAAAAATTTATTTTAAGATACATAAAAATCGACTAAGATACCCTAACACTAAATATCAAGAAAAAAAAATATTTTCTCTTTTATTTTAACCTTGTAATTAAAACTCACTTTTAATTTTTTTTGTGCCATCTTTTTATATAACTTTTATATGATATTAAATAAGTAGATGTATTTAATATCACTTATTTCAAATAAATAAAAAAATCAATAATTTACATAACACATCAAATTATATAAAAAATACAAAAAAAATATCCTCATATTATTTTCTTTTAATAATTCACTCGTCAATATCCACTCCTCTCATCAATAATTAATTAAGGGTAGAATTGGAAAGTGCATAAAATAACCATGGCAATAAATAACAATTGTAGTTCTAAATCCCTATACATATTCAAAATAGGACAAATATTGTGGAAGAAAGTAGTTTTTTGTTTTTAATCCTTAAAATGTTCTCAGATGTGTTTGTATGCACTTTAGAACTAATTTTTTTATAATTTAGTCAAAAATAAATTATTTATATTAAAATTGAAAAACATATGAGAAATTATATTTTTATTAACTCCCTAAAATATTGAATCTTAATCAATAAAATATAAAGCAAACTTCGTTATCAATTAAACCATAATTCTTTAAGTTACAACAGTAACTATATTTTTAATAACATCAGAGAGTATTGTGATTTGTGGGTTAGCTTTCGTATATTATTTAAAGTGTTATTATTATTATTATTATTTTCTGAAGAGAGGCAATGAAATTTAAAGTGTTGTTTGTGAGTTATACTGTGTTATGGTCATTTGTTTCTTTTTTCTTTTATTATATAAAAATATATATAATATTAATTAAAATTAATTAAAAATAATAATTTTATATTTTTAGATAAGATATTGTATAAAAAATTTATAAAAAATATGGTCAAACACGAAATCTAAGTTTATTTCTTTAGTTTAGTTAAAAATAAACCACTGATACCACTAAACTTATGAAAAATTACTATAGGTTTTTCTTAAACTTTTTTTGTTTTAAATCTGGGTAACTCATAGCAACTTTTCTACACAATATATATATATACAATCCAAAATTTAAATATTACCTCTGGTTGAATTTAGTTATCTTAATTTTGTATGATTTTTTATAGTAAATAAATAATAATTAAAAAATTTATCTAAGTGAAAGTACTCAACAAATACTAGATATAGAAAGAAAAAAATTTTCAATTGTTATTACTCTCTTTGTTCATTTTTAATTGACCTAATTTGGTTTTTTGATTTTTTGATTTTTTAAATATAAATTTTAGATGAAAATTTAATAACTTATATGAGCAATAATTAA